GGGAAGGAAAGGCTGAACATCCACCTAAACGTCCACCTGAAGGTGAGCAGGATGGTCCCTGCTCATGCAGTACTGCCTGCATCATAAAGCACTGAGATCAGACACAAGCAGCAGCTGAAAATCCAAGCTACAGAAAAGCTATTGCTCTATGCAACCATGTGAGTAAAAAATCTCCAAAAGCTCTACCTCAAAGTACTCCCCAGCACCCCCCAAAATCCCAAATAAATTCATTAAAAGTGTATATTGACAAAAATTCCCCAGCAGCTCTCTCAGTTAGCACACACTAAGTTCTACTTATTAATTTTAGTTGTAGACTCCAAAATTTCTGTTATATATATTCTTGCATAGTCAGAAAAATATATTTATTTTTTGAGAAATATAATTTGAAAACAAAAAAGCATAGAAATGAAGCAACGTTATTGCTGACAATGGAGCTCTCCTTTCTCACACAGAATCAAAGCTGAATATCATCTCCATGTAACATTTGCTTTCCTTCTGTGTCTCTTTGATGTTCTTGTGAACTACATTTTTCCTCTATTAGAATGGGAAGTTCAGAGGGAATTTTCAAAGGGAAAAGAATGGTATGCTGTGACTTTTCAGAGGCCCCTCATGCTCCTTAAATAGCAGGTAGGCTTTGTTTAAGTAGCTGAACTTTTGCTCCAGCAACTCTTCAGCATTTGCAATGTGTTTAATAGAAATGAGTGCATAAGTGTGTCACATGACATACATGTGCAAGTTCATCATGGTTTCGTCACAGAGCACAACCAGAGAACAACCCATTGCCAATCACCAAGAGATGGATGAAAAAACTGTATCATATATGCTATAGTCTGAATGTTTGTGTCCCCTTCAAATCCATATGATGAAACTCAATCCCCTGTGTGTTAGTACTCACAAGTGGCACATTTGGGAGGTGATTAGGTCATGAGGGCTCCAGCTTCATGACTATAATCAGTGCCCTTAGAGAAGATTGCTCATTCCCTCTTCCATACGATGCAGAAATGAGGTATCATCTCTGAGGTCCTCACCAAATATCAAATCTGCTGATGCCTTGACCTGGGCCTTTCTCACATCCAGAACTAGAAGCAATACATTCCTATTTACAAAGTACATGGAGATTGTCTTTGTTTGGGCTACTATAACAAAATACAAAGTTATAGTAGCCCAAACAAAGACAATCTCCATGTAACAGAATACTATACAGGAATGAAAAAGAATAAATGACTGCTCTATGCAACAAACAAATATATCTCACAGAAAATGGAGTAAAAGAAGCCAGACAAAAAAGTCTGCACAGTCTGAGTCCATTGGTACAAGGTCCCAAAACAGGTAAACCTAATCTGTGGTTTTAGCAGTCAGAACAGTGATTTCCCTTCAGAGAATAATAACTAGAAAGGGGTAAGAAGGCAATAGTGGGGGTACTGATAATGCACTATCTCTCAAGAAGCATAGTGGCTACATGGGTGTATTCATTTTGTAACCTTTGGTGTACTGTACAATTGTGAAATGTGTATTTTTCTGTGAGTAGGTTACATGGTAGTAAAATTTTCAGCAAGATAAAGAAAAAACCAAATTAAATTTGAATGTGGGATCATGTTTTATTCTCAGGTGTCTTATCTGCTCTGAGCGGGGCAAACTGAAGCAGGGACATTCTAGTTCAGAACACTACAGTAATTAATCACATCCGTGGACATTGGTAATCATTAACACAAGCAAGAAAAAAGCTGACTAGGAAAATTTCCATACAGATACCAGGTAATGTACTATACTGGCTCGATTTATATCCTGCCATCAATATGGGGCAGCTCAAGGTTTACCAATTCAGTTACGAGGAGGAGCTAATAAATATGGCCCCAGGGTTTAAGTTGGCCAAGACGCTATTCGTAAGATAGGCACAGAGCGTTTCTCACACAAAACAAGAACTGTTAGTATAGGTTATGAAAATGCCATTCCAAAGTGGAAGGTTTGTAACATCTTACTGAAGTTATTTTAAAAAGTGGCCAAAAAGATGAGTGATGAAAAGGTAATGAACATCAGCCACTGAGGGCATCTGCTGCAATGTGTTCTGTAACAGGCAGTGAATAAACCAGCAGATAACATTGTGGACAGCTTACGTATGACCCTGGTGATCTATCATCTGGAGGCATCTATCATTCACCTACCTGATTCTAACTTGCTCAGGACACTCCAGATTTTGCCTACCTTTACTTTTCCTCTGGTGAAGTTCAGATGAGATGCTCCATTAGTCAGCTTTTCATTACTATAACAACATACCAAAGATAAGTAACTTATGAAGAGAAAAGTTTTCTTTCGGCTCACAGTTTTGAAGGTTCCTGTCACTGACCGTTTGGCCTCATTGCTTTGGGCCCATGGTAAGGCAGCACAGCATGGCAGATGCGCATGGTAGAGCAAGCCACTTACATTATGAGCCAGCTAGCAAAGAGAGCCAGAAGGAGGCCAGATCCTACAATGCCCCTCAAAGGCATGCTCCCAAATGGCTTCAGGGCCTCCCATAAACCTCATCTCCTAAGGGTTCCGCCATCTATCAATAGCACCATCCCAAGAAGCAAGCCTTTAGACACATGGATCCTTCAGGGCCATTGCAGATCCATCCTACAGCAGACATCCACAGAAGGCCTCTACGTGCAACCCAGGCTGGGCCAACTGATCCACTGCATCCCCTTAGCTGCAGTGAGTTGCCCAGGCCAGGCAAGGGTTCTCCATGGAATGTCATGCTACCAGCTAGGAAGAAGGTCTAGAGTACAGCCCAGGTTGTCTGAGGCCACTTTCTAGTAATACACAGAAGAGGCCTGTTTGAGGTAGGGAAGTGTGAGGCCAGCAAAGATAGAAATAAAGCCAAGCAGAAATAATTCAGGGAAGAGCTGATGGCCTGAGGTGGGGAGAGGGAGGGGGTGCTGTTTATGCAGCCTGTCCTTCCTCTCTGCATGCTAGATGCCAAAATGCGGCAAAATGCACCAAAATGCCTTTTTTCTTAAGCTAGTTTGAGTTGGATTTCAGCTCTTGGGTGACAAAAGGCTTTACAAATACACCAGTAAAGATGGAACTGGGAGTACAGTAAAGTAGCATTTGAGGAACAGGGTAAGGGAGGTGAACTGTGAACACACCTGACACTGGCCACCTGGAGTTGCCGAGCATCCACACTGCTTTTAGCTGGCCTTGGCTCTGCCACGTGATGGTATCCAAGCCCCAGGTATACATTTCCTCAATTCCTTCTTTGATTCTGCTCAGGTTTCACTTTTAAAAAGCCCACACATTTGCCACCTACCTCAGTACTTTTTCTCTTCCACAGTCCTCAGTTCTTCCTTACTTTCCAAACACATGAAAAAATGAGTGAATTCTGCTCCTAAAAGGTCTGTGAGGCCAGGGTCCATCCTAATGTCACTGGCTGGAATAGCATCCACACAGCCATAGAAATTTGCTTAAGTAAGGCTCCTAAACATTCAGCAGGCAGCTTGAACTGTGTTCTGCTGAAATTACCATGTGTTTACCAAACATGCTTTATTCTAAAATTGCTTTGATTCGTAAAATAGAAATTGAGAGAGGTGTACATCCTGCGTTAATACATTTGTGGTCTGACACTACTGTTGATTGTGTGTGTGTGTGTGTGTGACCACCAGACCATACACACCTCTGAGCACAGAAACCAGGTCTTGCTAAATCTTTCCACCCAGCCTTCAGTACAATTCTTAAGAGGAACTGGCGTCTACGTTTCCCTACTGTGTACAAAAGGCTCTTAACATTCCATAGAACCTGGCTTCTCCGAGTGTGATCTACAGAGAAGCAGCATCAGCATCCCTGAGACAGAGTGCTGCAAATGCAGGATGAAGAAGGGGATGTGCCAGGTCGAGGAGGAGCCACACACCAGCAGTGGTGTCTGTGTGGAGGAGAGAGAGGGGCAGGTGGGTGCTAGAGTGCAGGTGAGGGGTGAGGAGGGCTGCAGCCAGGGAGATGGGCTGACAGGCTGGCACGCAAGGAGACCTGGGCAACCTTTTGGAGACAGGAGCTGATTGGTGAGAAAAGAAAGAGAATTAAGGGAGGTAAGGCCCTGAGCTTGTTACCCTCAGGCAGGGATGACAGCCCCTGGGATCAGATGGGTCGTGGCTGATGCTCCTGCTGCCACTGTCTCTAACTGCACAGAATCTCATGCCTTCCCTTCTCCCATCTTCAAACCGAGTGACCGCTTCCTCAGGTTTCAATTGCACAGATAGGAGGTGCTGTGATCTTTTCACCCAGAAAAGATATTGGCTCGTAAAAGCAGACTATCAGCTTCTTAATCTTAGAATCAATTGATTCAGTAGAGTGAAAAATAAATTAACAGGTCCACTTCAGTACCCAAATGAATTGGGGTTTAGCCAGCGTCTGCAGGAAGCGTCTGTGAGAACTCAGTAAATGACTTCCATTTGAAATCTCAGCCCCAGAAGCACTTAATAAGTGCCGTTTGGCGACGATAATGATGGTCCACACGTCGCGGGATCATCTATCCAGTCAAGCAAATGTTTCCAAGGAGCAGTAATAACGAACCAGGACCAGGATACATCGCAGGAAAAGGGCTTCTCTGCAATGTGGCCCACTGCAATTCTAAAATTCCTAGCTGAGCATTTTGCTCCTTAAAGGGTCTGCATCCCTTCTGCTGCTCCTGAATACAGTATTACTGTGACTACAGCAGCTTAGGGAAAGGCACGGAGTAGCCAGGCCCCTGGAAATTAGGACTCCCCAGGGCAACCACAGGATCGAAATAGGTCATCGCGGGGCTCTCAAGAAGCACTTCCCCGGTCCTCCGGGGTGCCAGCCAAGCCCTGCCAGCTGGGCTGGGATGGGTGCGGGGCGCAGCACCCAAGGCAGCGTGACCTTCCGGCCCTCGGCCCGCGGCCTCTGTCGCCCTCCAGCGCAGCCCCGACCTGTGGGGGCGCGCGCGGCCTCCCGGGGCTCCCGCGGGCTGGCAGACGGGCGGGCGCGCGCGCGGGGGGCGGGGACGCGCGCGGGGAGCGTGTGGGCCCGGCCGGCGCTGGGGGGAGAGCAGCGCGAGAGCCGAGCCCGCTGTTCACCTGCAGCCACGCAGCTCACCTGCTGCGGAGCGCACCCCGCGCCCTCCCCGCGCACTCCGCAGAGGGGCCGCCGCCCTCGCCGCCGCAGGCACCAGCGCTGACATGCGACAGGAGTAGCCCTGGCTCTTTGGAAGCAGCGGAGGAGCCCCCTCGGCCCGGGCACGCCAAGGTGACCCCCTCGACCTCCCCCTGCACCCCGCCCTCGCGTCTGTCCCCCAGCGTCCCCGCCGCGAGAGGAGCGGCGGCAGTGCATGGGCATCCGTCTCTGTGTCTGTCTCTGCACCTCCGTCGCACACATCTGCCTTTTGTGGCCCTCCTTGGCTGCTCCGTGCTCACGGGGGGCCTATGGGACCCCCTCTTTGTTCTGGTCGGTGTTGGAGGGTGTGCACGGGCGAGGGATGATTTTGGAAGGTGGGAGTTGGAGCCTGTTTAATTATTCCATCGAGAATGGCGGTCCCGGCTCGCGACTTGGCGGCCGCCGCGTGGTGGGGTCCGCAGCTGCCCAGATGTGAAACAGTGGTTTGTCTTCAGCATGCAAGAAGTGATCCTCAGATGTGCGTCCCACGCCGCCGCGAGTCTGTGTGTGCCTGCCTCGCTCACGCTCGTGTTTGGAATCCTGCCCTGTGCTCTTCCCAAGACCAAAGGGCATTTTTGTTGTGGGATTTAATCCACAGAGACTTTGGCTTTTGTTTTAGTTCAACACGGTCCGTAATTCCCGGGGCTTGTGCCATTCGATACTTGGTATCTGAGAAGGGGCTGGCTTTCTTCGCGCTCGTGTGTGTGTGTGAGTGTGTGTGTGAGTGTGTGTGTGTGTGTTTCTGCATGATGTTAGATTGTTGCTCTGCTGTGCCTAAACATTAAAAAGCCTGTCTTTTCGTTGAAGAGGACAGGGGTTAAAATGAATGAAGACCTGAAGGTCAATTTAAGCGGGCTGCCTCGGGAGTATTTAGACGCCGCTGCTGCAGAGAACATCTCAGCTGCTGTCTCCTCCCAGGCTCCTGTTGCTGAGCCGGAGCCGGAGCTCATAGTCAACCCTTGGGACATTGTCCTGTGCACCTCAGGAACCCTCATCTCCTGTGAAAATGCTGTTGTGGTCCTTATCATCTTCCACAACCCCAACCTTCGAGCACCCATGTTCCTGCTAATAGGCAGCCTGGCTCTTGCAGACCTGCTGGCCGGCATCGGACTCATCATCAATTTTGTTTTTGCCTACCTGCTTCAGTCAGAAGCCACCAAGCTGATCACCATCGGACTTATTGTCGCCTCCTTCTCTGCCTCTGTCTGCAGCTTGCTGGCTATCACTGTGGACCGCTACCTCTCCCTCTATTACGCTCTGACTTACCATTCTGAGAGGACGGTCACCTTTACCTATGTCATGCTGGTCATGCTCTGGGGAGCCTCCATCTGCCTGGGGCTGCTGCCAGTCCTGGGCTGGAACTGCCTTCGGGACGAGTCCACGTGCAGTGTTGTCAGACCTCTGACGAAGAACAACGCTGCCATCCTGTCCGTCTCTTTCCTCTTCATGTTTGCGCTAATGCTTCAGCTCTACATTCAGATCTGTAAGATTGTGACGAGGCACGCCCATCAGATAGCCCTGCAGCACCACTTCCTGGCCACATCACACTATGTGACCACCCGGAAAGGGGTCTCAACCCTGGCTCTCATCATGGGAACCTTTGCTGCTTGCTGGATGCCTTTTACTCTCTATTCCTTGATAGCAGATTACACCTACCCCTCCATCTACACCTATGCCACCCTCCTGCCTGCCACCTACAACTCCATCATCAACCCTGTCATATATGCTTTCAGAAACCAAGAGATCCAGAAAGCTCTATGCCTCATTTGCTGTGGCTGCATCCCGCCCAGCCTGTCCCAGAGAGCTCGGTCGCCCAGTGATGTGTAGCAACCTTCCACCTAAGAAGACACTGCCTGTGACAAGCACTTCCACTGCCACCAAACAGTTGACCTGCTTACTTTCAACTCTTTGCAATGGATTCCCTCTCAAGTCAGGGGAGGACTTAGCATTGGTGAAATAATGACATCGTGTAGACGAGTTAAGTGATTAAAGTGAAAATGTTACCAGTGTTGTCACCCTTTAAAAACAATTGTTGGCCTCTGTTCATTATTTTGTTTTGGTGGGGTGTGGTTTTATATTTTATTTGGGGGGTAGTGGAAAGGAAGAAATGTGACCTAGCCATGATGTTATAAAGTTTTAAGTAAACAAGTTCCAGAGTTTTTACCTGGACTTTGAAATAAATCTGAATTTTTAAGGAAAATGGAGAAGGAATTACTGTTTTCAGTCTTTTTTTAAAAAAATCAAGGTAGATTTTCAATGCTGCATAGATCTAACAGAATATGAGCTCTTTCAAGCCAACAAAAAATAGTTTACATAATTATCTGTGAAAGGGACCTGTTTTATTAACATGAATTCAGTAATAAATTACCAACACTAGAACCATTCTAATTTATTCTTTTTGCTTTCAGCAATTACTGTTCATAAGAGCAAAGAAAGAAAGAAAGAAAGAAAGAATTATCTTCCCATTTCTAAAAATGTTGCAACTCCTTCTGCACGGTTGCCAATGTTAGCTAGACCACTAGTTTCAAATTTTGCCATGTAAATCCAGAATTAAAGCAGTCATTTGTCACTATAGTTTTCCAAATAAATCATGAAGTAGGTTTTGATTTACATATGAAGAAGGATTGATTAGATCCACTATTGTAGTTTCTTAAGCTACAATCTGATTATTTTAGTGCAACAAAAGAAAATAAAAATATCTATTGAAAGTAATGTGACACTATCAGGGAAATATCACATTTCCTATCTTTGTCTAAGAATATACTAGCAGTTATTCTTAGATAGAATTAAATATTAAAAACAAAATTTTCTGGTTCATATCATCTCTAGTGTAGAATGCATTTGAAACAGGTGATCTCTTGTCTTAATAATTAAGTTTGTGAGTGTACAACATGCATACCTGACTGTGGTATTTATCAGCTATATCTTACAAGATCACAAGCAGAATAACCATGTGGCTATTCATGAAAAGTTATGTTTGAACTCCTTTTCACCAAAAAAAAAACAACCTCCCTTAAATGCAATAAAAACTGTATTGCCTGCTTACAGAAGCAAAGATTTAGTTGGAAATTACACAGAATTGACTTTAAACACACTGTAAAATCACCATGTCCAAGAGTCATTTCTGTTAGTGCAGACAGATATAGACACAGATACTATCCCTCCATCTGCAGTGAATTTATAGCTGTGTCTCTACAACCAGTGGAAGAATTTCTGGACAGCACATCAACTTCAGATGGCAGCAAAACCAGGGTCTCAGGGTCCTTAGGGGGAATTGTTGGTAATAAGTTAACCTCACTGGTTTGTTCTAGATATCATGCCCACCGAGGTCGCAGGGCCATTCGGGTAGCCTGCATACTGGTGCCATCTCTCCAAAGCCTCTTCTAATGTGGCACTAATGTGACTAAATCCTCTACTTGAATCTGTCTCTTCCCTGAGGTCACTTACAGAAGCAGGAAAGGGACTGAAATATTTAAGAAGTGGGAAAGGATTTTCAATGCATATCACTGTATGATAAGCTTATTCAAGTTGTTGCCTTGCCTTTAAAACATTTTTTAACATTGGATGGACTTGGCAGATTGAATATGAGTCTATTTTTAATTGCTTAAAATTTAATAGCACCTCTCCATAGGAGGATTGACAAAGGTAAGAGAAATATCTTTAATGAGGATTTTAAGCAATAAATGATGTTTTTATAGAAATGATGGTTCCCCTTTTCGTATCTCAATAGTAATCATTATAACAATTCATATGGTTTTTAGCAACACATGTGCTAATCTTTTGCTGTAGTCACAAAATAGCACTTTTTCAGATGAGAAAACCAAGATTAGGAGGAGAGGCTAAGAAAGGCCCTGAGACCACAAAGCCACAGGACAAAGCCAGATTTTGCAGCCAGGTTTTCTGAAGTTTAAGTCGTGTTTTCTGCCTGCATAATGCTGTCTTTCATCCTTTACTGGATAAGAGAGCAGAGGAAAAACTGCTTTTTAACATGTAACTGTCACAAAATCCAGGTTCTATAATGAAGACATAAAACTTCCTGTTTAAAATTACATGTGGAATGATGATGTGGCTGTACATGAAGGAGGTTCATTTGTATCTTGCTCAGTACATAACTAATTCAGTGGTTGCTTTTGAGTTCAGCTTAGAGATTTTTTCAGTTCAACTGTAACATGACCTTACTATTTAAATTGTGAAGAGTTTTGATTGTTTAGGTGTTTTTTAAAAGGCTTTGTTTTTATGAGATTAATTATTATGAAATGTGCACATATCTCTCTGTATGTGTATTTTTTGTGTGCATGTGCATGTGTTTATGCATACATATATTCAATAACTTTAACTTTGCAATGGGACCAAATGTATCATGGAAAACAGTCATATTTCCAGCAGCCCCGAGGTAGCAGATAATCTTTACCTTTTTTGTTTTGGTAACAGAAATTGATTTCAGGGCCTTTATACTGAACTACATCTCTAGCCCTTTTTATTTTTATTTTTAAAGTTTATTTAGTTTGAGATAGACTTTCACTACTTAGCTAAATTGCCCAGGCGAAGCTCAAACTTACAATCTTCCTGCTTCAGCCTCCCAGGATGCTGGGATTGCAGCCATGTGCCATCACATCTGGCTAGCGGGTAACCTTTTATTCCATGAAATCACAATTTCTGATTAACACAGAATTTATTTTCCATAGAAACAGTTGTCTTTGTAACTAGGACAATTTAGTTATCTTACTAGAATCCTTCATTGAAATTCATTACCCAAGTTGTGGCTGTCCAGTGTTTTGTTTCCTTTTATTCTTTTAAGTATTTATTTCTTTGTATCAGTCAAGTTTAGTTTGTTCGGGATTGAAGTTTTGTTTGTTTTGTCTTGTTCATGCTAGGCATGTGCTCTCTCTACCACTGAGCAATTGGCCCAGCTTAAGTTTGTTTCTCAGTGGTGAAGAGGACCAGCTTCATTCCTGGTACCTAGAGTGGACAGAGAAGGCAGGGACCCTTCTCCTTGCCACTGAATTAAGGAACCTAGTTGAGAAAGGCAGCATCCAAATTCTTCCATTGAAGTGACATGGAGAAGTCATCTTCGATTCCCCTTTGATTGAAATGGGATTGAAATAAGAAGTTCAAAAGAAAGATAAGGAACAGAGATATCCAGTGCCAATAAAAATACTTTGGAGATTTCTTAAGCTTTTTTTAAAGAAATAATTTAATCCATTATTAAAATAATGATTGCCTTTATTTAATGGTCATATATTTGTCCTATGAAGTTAGGATTAAGATTTTTCTACTTCAGATTTAAAATACATATTAAATAAGTGACTACCGTGGTGTTATTCTGAACAATACTTAAGTTTCCACCTTGATTGTATGCCCATTATAATAAAGGAATAGATTGTCTTACTGTTCTTTTTAAAAATGTTACTGATTATTGGATGATTTTAATATCTCTTAGAAACTTTAAATCCGGTTCAAACTTTAAGAATCTTTGCCGTAATAGTTTTTGTTTTGTTTTGTTTTGTTTTTTTCGTACCAGGGATTGTACTCAGGTCCTTGCGCTTGCAAGGCAGGCGGTGGAACCATGGAGCTAAATCCCTAGCCCTGCATTAATAGTTTTATACATCATGGCTTTAATTAGCAGATATATTTCTTCTAGCAAACAATGCAGAAAAAATAATGGACATTTTGACTAGGCCCCCTGTAACATTCAATGCCTAAAGAGGATATGAATTGCCTGGGAATCTTGTTAAAATACAGATTCTGCATCAGTGGCCTGGGCCTGGCTGAATGTTTCACAGCTTCTGGGTGACATTGGTGACAATAGTCTGTAAACAACACTGAGTCCCAAGGATGAGCATCACATTTTTAGCATTCTTGAAATATAAATATAATGTATACGTGTTATATAAATAAATGTATTTAAAGTGTCATTCTTGTCAGAGATTAATAGAAATATGTCTGGTTTTCCTAGAGCTCTTCAGTATGTGTCTGGCAGAGATCTATAAATGTATTTTTTCCTTTGTTACTGTTCTCACTTTTTAAATTCTTAACTATCCTTATCTTAAGAGAGTTTCTTTCAGAAACTTCACAGACATGCAATGTGTTTCTATACATGTGGGATAAACACACCTAACAACACAAGTTTCCACCCCGTTTTCCAAGGACAGTTTTAAATTAGTTAAATTAGTTACTAATGCATAGCAGTTATACAAACTGTGGGTTTCACTGACATTTCCATATGTGCATATGCTGTGTTTTGATCGTATCCATCCTCCCTTCTACCCTTTCTTGCTCTCCCCTTCCCCCCCCCTTTTCCCTTTCTATATAGTCTCTCTTCTACTTTCAAACCATCTTTTTTGTTTGTTTCCATATATAAGAGAAAACATGATATTTGTGTTTCTGTGTCTGGCCTATTTAGCTTAACACTGTACCCTCCAGTTCTATCCCTTTTGCTGCAAATGACATAATTTCTTTCTTCTTTGTGACTGAATAATACTCCAGTCTGTATTTATGTCCTATTTTCTTTAGCCATTCATTTTTTCCAACATGGGAGGCTCTGTGTGCCCACATGAACTCATGTTGAGATAAGTGAGATGAAAACATTTGTTTTTGGGATTCTAAAATTTAACTGAACTCATCCCACAGCAAACTTTTTGTAAACAGGCAAATCAGAGAAATTTAAAAATACCTCACCTCATTTGACATTTATTTATAATGTTTTGTTTCTCAGCATCAAAACTACTATTAATGTTAACAATCACCCTGTTTATTCCTTTTACTGGTCTTCCCTTCTGTCCAAGAAGGTGAGAACATGTTTTTCCCAGTAGTGATCCCAGCTGCACAGGGGGCTAAGGCAGGAGAACAAGTTTGAGTGGATAACTTAGTGAGACCTTTTCTCAAGATAAAAAGGACTGAGGCTATGGCTCAGTGGTAGAGCATCATTAAAGTACATAGTTGAAGTGAATATTAACATGTAACTTAAACAACTCCATTGTATAAAATATTTCCAAAAGAAATCTAGGAAATTTTTAATCATAAAAATTCTGATACTAGCATCAACATCAATGAACAAACTTTCAATTAGAAATAAGTTTGTAGCAGAAATGAAAGCATTTATTTGGGCACAGATTCCCTTGACTCTGGACAATTTCAAGTAGAATATTTTCAAAAGTAAAGAAGCATCTTATGGAATTCTCCATATTTGAATTTCTTGTATTTGAATTTCTCACCAAACAACATGCTTTGAACTCATGGGATTCCTACTTAGGTTGCTGAAAATACAAACTTTTCACATAGGGAGGGATGACAACCTTTTACAGATGTGGTATGCTTACTGGGAAAATCGGTTCTGGTCCAACCACATCCTTGAACCTTTTAGGATCCTCTATAGAATCTAATAACTGAGAGAAAACTTGTGGAATAGAATTTTCCATACCAAATCTAAACAGTGTGAGTCACTACCTTTAGAAACTGAAATTGTACTTTCCCCTCAATGCTACTTTCAGACCATCAGATCTTTCTAGTTGTGCTCTTAATTCTATTTGGTCTTGGCCCAGGCCCTGGCCACAGTGACTCCCTAGTTACAGCCAACATTTATATCTTGAAAATATTCATTAAATAATACTGTCCTGTTCTTCAAATAAAATTATCCATTACTTAAATCACTTACTTCTGATTCCATCTTATACCACTTGGATATTTTCTTGATCATTTTTCTCCAGATCATCTACTATTCCTCCGCTTACCTCTTTAAATCTAGGAGTCAAAACTGGGAAACAATAATGCACTTCATGGATGTGACCTACGGTGGAGGGGTGGATAATTCTCTGCTTGCTGTCCAGCAGTGATCCATTGAGTGTGGGGCCCAATCAGCAGCTGCCACATCTCTTGGAAACATGTTAAAATGCAGATTCTCAGAACTTACTCCAAACTTTCTGCTCAGAAATTGAGGTTGAGGCCTAGCCGTTTGCATTTTCATGAGCCCTCTGAGTGATTCAAATGCACCCTAGAGTTTAAGAACCATGCCACATAGTTTTGACTGATTCCCAACATTGTACTAAATAATGGTATAGCTAATGACATCAACATGGCAGCTTCTTCTGCCATGTGAATGCCAGGAAACCCTCACCTTGGACCTTGAAGGTGACGTTCATTTGTGTCCATGTTGGCTTGCAGAAGCTACTGTTTTCAAGGATACCTCCTAATATGTCAACCTAGTTAACTCCTGCCACTTCCATTAGGACTGTACCACGGCCATCTCCCATGTCATGTGCCTCAGACAGAAAGACAATTCAGGGAAAAGAAATAAGTCTAACCATACCTCTCTCTTGGCATCATGGGGAGTCTTTCCCCTCTCCTGTTCATGATCTGTCTCTGAATTGGCCAGAACATTCCACAGTCGAGTCTTCTGCCATCCAGCCACGCATCATCTGTCCACCTACATATGCCTCCTCTGGTCATGTGAGGACATTCACACATTCCTTCTTCCCACTGTAGGTACTTCCACCTTCATTCTCCAACCCCAGACCAGGGATCTTTGGTGGGAATGTCCAGGAAATGGGGCAGTTCATGGAGGGTGTGACCTTCAGGCTAGTTTAGGGTGGCCCCCTTGGCACAGTCTTAACAAGCCTCAGAAAGATCTCTGAGATTCCTACAGAGTACGGTATGATTTGGGTTAGGAGACTTCTCTCCATGCCTTTGCGCTAGGGTCTTATGGTTTACAATCCAGAAAGATCAGTGAACAGGAGCAATAAGCAGGTTTGAAGAGGGACTTTTCTCAATTCTGGGGACTGACCAACTTTCGCATGTGACACTTAGCCTACGAGGTTTCCTGAGTGCTCTTTATTCTTTCAAATCACCACATTGACATAGTCAGCTTTCCTTTTTGTGTGTGGGAGAATTATTTTGTATTGCTTGTCTTGCAGTAGCATGCACTAATAAAAATAAAAATTGAAAAAAAAATTGAAAAAGAAGGCTGGGATGTGGCTCAGTGCAAAGGGCCTGGGTTCAATCCCCAGTACCACTAAATAAATAAATAAGTAAATTTTAAAAATAAATTAAGAACAAGTTCAAAGAAATTGGTCAGTTTTCTTTAGAAATGTTTGAAGTTAAGAGAACATATTTTAAGCTTACAATTAAAGACTCTCTTTTTGCAAGCTCTTGATTCTGTTTGACAAGCAGAAAACCCAAACATACAGGAGACCAAGTGACTGTCCTTCTGCATAGGCTTTGGGACAGAAGCTGCTGCTCTCACAGCCTGGTTTGGGAAACACGTAGCATTCTCACTAGAGGCTTTGGGACGTCATCTTCACGTCCCGTCCATGTCACTTCCTCCTTGACTAGTTGCTAAAGCTCTCTGGGCCGCCATGTTCTGATCTGCCGGTGAGCATGTTCCAAGAACCTATCTGGCAGTATGGGGTGGGAGGAAGCAAGGAAAGGTCCAAAACACAGGGTATAAACAGACCCTGGTTTAGGATTTTTTAACTTTACAATGGTGCAAAAGTGAATTGCATCCGGTAGCAATCATACTTCCGATTTTGAATTTTGCCCTTTCCCTGGAATAGGAATATGAGATCCGAACATCTCTTGCAATGCTGGGCAGTGTTGGCGACCACAGCTCCCAGTCAGCCCCATGACCACAAAGGGAAACAAATGACACTCTACAGTGTGCCATGTTGCTAAGCTCGGAAGGTCATTGGTTAGGTGGACTAAATGCCTATTTGGCTTATGAAATATTCAGTGTTCAATGGGTTCATCAGAATGCGGCCCTGTCATAAGTCAAGGAGCATCCATACTGACACATACCATATTTCCCCCAAAATAAGAACGGTTCTTGTAATTTTCGCTCCAAAATACGCAATAGGGCTCATTTTCAGGCGATCTTAGTTTTTCATATATGCCAATCTACATTTATCTATTTATTCACGCATAAATATCTACATTTATTCAAATACAGTTATGTCATCTTCTGGAACATTGTCATATCTCTCCAAACCCCAAATTCCGGACTGAATTTCTTTTTTTTTTTTTGGTACCGGATATCGAACTCGGGTCCTTGCACTTGTCCAGCAGGCGGCGAAACCACTGAGATAAATCCCCGGCCCCGGCCTGAATTTCTTGTGACTCCATTTCCTGTACCATTGCCCCGAATCTCATGTCCATCAATAGAGCCCTGAACACTTAAATGAGCACTTCTTATCCATGTGCCCTGCTTATAGTGCATTGGCGGCACAGCTGTCAGTGATTTTATCCTGTGAATTTTTTACCCAAGTCATCACTTCTTGCAGGCTGGCTTCACAAAGTTTCCATTAAATCAAGTGTTAATTGAACTTAGGAGAAGGAGTGATGACAAAAATGATGACAGTTAAGAATGACGGTCCACACAAAAGTGACAAAAAATCACAGGCACCAAAATTCAGAAAATGCTCCTTTATTTCACACAAAAACATTAAAAATGCCTGTTATAATACATGATGTTTTGAACTATGAAGATTCATATTACACACAGCCATGTCTGTTCATTATCGATTTCAAACGTTCATTATTCAGGCATTGTGTCTGTACTCAGACGGGTCATTTGGCAGTAAGTCTGGAGTTCATCTGTATACATAGGCATTTACCTCTCCTCCAAAGTTGCCTGGTTGAGTTTTTAAAAATATTTAGTTATGGGGCCGGGTATACTGCCTCCAGTAGTTACTGAGCTAGATACCCATACAAAAGCCTTGTACTCAGCAATACTATGAGGTATGCCTTGATCTTCTCCCCCATCAAAAATAAGGAAAATAACACAGAGAGGTTAAGCGGCTTGCCTAAAACCACACAGGTTTTCTAAAAGTCACTGTGAACCCTTAGACACAAATAGTGCCTGTTAGGAAATCTGAGACAAGTCAGCCGAGTATGACCCGTTCATAAGGAGATAAGAGACTCTCCCAAGACAGCCCTGGTTCAGGCCCATGGCAACAGCACAGATGCATGGCAGGCACTTGGAGGCCAGAGCAGTGGGTTCCATGAGGCAGGAAGGCCCCATGCAGATAGTGGCTGCCCTCCTGCCCATGGGTCTGGAAGGAGGGTGGACCCAGGTTCATGTAAAAGCCAATGGGTTTCCCAGCAGTGGAACATTGGTGAGATTCTCTGCATAAGGGCTATTCCATGGAAATGACTTGAGTTTACTCAGAATGGAGCTGACTACACATAGACTTTTTTTTTTTTTCAGATTACTTTTAACTTGGACTAATTTCAAAAAAAAATTAATACTTTCAGTTTTCAACTCCATTTAAATGAGTTTCAGGGCCGGGGATGTAGCTCAGTGGTGCAGCACCTGCCTGGCAAT